AAAGGGGGTCCAACCCGTTACTAGCATGGGGTACCTGATAAAGTGACCGGTGAGTGTATAATAAACCTTATAAATAGTTTGTCTGAAAAAAATAGATTGAAAAAAAGAAATATAAAAAAGGAATTTGGAAAAAAAAATGAAAATGTAAATCTGAGAAAACAAAGTTAACATGAAAATCTTTTTAGATAAAAAAAAAAAAAAGTCAAAGATTTATTTCTGGATTGCATTTTCTTTTCAAATTACCATTAAGAAAATATGTTCTTTGCTTACAACAACAAAGGAGCAAAATACTCTGTAGAAATCCCACATCTTACCCCCACAGAGCATGAAGAGATTCTCAAATCCCCGCTCACACATGGTGGTGGCTGCCACGCTGGCTATCCTTTCATCTTCGTCATAAACAATGATGATCTTTCCCAAAGCATTTTTCTGCAGACTAGTTAAGATATTAAATAGCTAGTAACATAAAAAAGGGAAGAAAACAACAATAACCAAACAAGCTGTAGCGTGTTTCAAAAGGATACATATTCCAGCACTTCTTTGGTGTACGGATTCATGGTTCTGGACAGCATGGCCATGGGGAAACTGTGAGCTGTGTCAAAGATGGACGGGTAAAGCATTAGGGCTTTATGACAGGTTTGATAAGCAGACATTTTTCTTACACCACCCACCGCTAATGATGTGGCAGGAGTCATACTGATCGCGCTCACGCACGTCCAGCAGCAGGTAGGGGCAGTCTGGGTAGGGCGTCTCTGTGGGTATGGGGCTGGAAACAGACTCTGCTTTCTGCTGAGGCTCCTCTTCCATGTTCAGCTCTCCCACTCCATTAATAACACTGGGCAGAAACCATACAGTCAGAGGCTCTTTAGCCTCACAGCATTTTGCATTTTGTTACATGCAGAAACGCGGCAACTTGAATCAAATAAATGTGTGATTAACAGGTTTCTGGGAGGACAGGCTGAAACAGTGCTTTGATTACGCATTTAGAACAGGAACCAGACGACGAGGGCTGGGCTCCACTGGTGTGGGGGACCCTGTTAGCTGAAACTACATGCTGCTTCTTTAGCAGGGATAGGAAACACTGGTCAGGGTTAAAATGAGAGATTAAAGGTATAGTCGAGAATTTTTGAAAAGACCCACCCTGCACATGAACAACCTTGTACCCTCTCCTGAGAGGGAACGCCTATTAAATAATTGCGAGAGCCTGCATGAGCCCATTTCTCCTTGTGTTCGCTCTGTTTAAAAGTTGCTTTTTGCATCGCTCATACAAGCTTACTTTCCAAAAGAAGATTTGCAATTTTTCCACTATGTCAGACTCACCACCGGTAAGTGAGAATGGGGATGAGCACGTAGGATGGCCTTACGTAAACATATAATCAGAATGATTGACAATTAGGAGGACCACTTATTTTGATGAACCAGCTGGAAAAGAACATCCTCCACTATACCTTTACTTATGCTACTTGATGTGGGAGAAGGTCCTTAAATAAAAATTAGCTGTATGTCTAGCAGGAGAACAGCGCTAAACATGCAGCCAGAGCAGCAAGGGGGTGAATTAGATCAGACTATATTCAGTTGCTGAAGCAAACAGCCATAAAGCCAGCAGGACATGAGTAGCAGTAAAAATAAGGCTCACATGTGGATAATACAGTTGTCCATATATGCATCATTAAATACAGCTGACATAAAGCTGGTATTAATGTTAAATTTAAGTAAATACAATAAACATAAATACCCAATTTCTCTGGTAGAAACAGAGAATTTTAAATTTAAGCTTTAATTCTGTGTGTGTATTTTTTCAGACTGCATCCCACGACTGGATAACATTTATATACTGCCACCAGAGGGCACTGTTTTGAGTGTGCAGACAGGAGTAGTGGAGTGCCTTTTGATGGAAAACGCCACCGACCCCCACATGCTCCACACAAAGTGACACTAACAGACAACTGCTCTGCCATCATGCAGGCTCAGTCTGCCACCGTCTCCAAGGTGTCAGATAGAGTTACACTCCTGGGACCCACTTTCTAGGTGAGGCAGGAAGAGATACAGGTGACAAAGCGCAGCTTTTGAGAAGCGACTGAGATGGGTCATTGTGAAATTCAGTTGTTGGGAAGAGCAATGCCCTGTGGGACAAAAATGAGACGTTGTTCTGCAGACAAGGTGTAGAGTTTATGGAGGCTTTGACTGAAGACAACATGTTAGGCTGAGTGTATGGAGTGAAGTTTGTTCCATTATGTAACAAGCAAGAACAAAAAACACCCCCCCCCCCCCCCCCCAAAGAAAATTATTTGGTTTGCTTTTTGTGAATTTAAATTCTTTTAAAAAGAGAATGCAAACCAGAAATAAAAATTTTAAAGAAATGTTTCTTAAAACCAAAAATACTTTCAGAGCAAGTTGGTTGTTTTTTTGTTTATTTTTTTTTACAGATTTTTATTTTTTTTTAAATCATTAATATATATTGTGAACTATGTTTTTTTCGGGCTTTTGTTTGTTATCATTATAAAATAATGTAAAACAAAGAGTTAAAAAAAAATAATGGAGCAAAGTAGGTATCAATTTAAGCTTTTCTTTTTGGCCCATAATAGAATACTTTAATTGCATTAAAGCACCATTGTCTAGCTTTTAGCCATTTGGTGAGTTAAACCTGTTACTTCCAGGTTCAGTGCCACTGGAAGAAACTGGTTTCATTACATAATCCCCAAATGAACCGGTATCCCTTTGTGTTTAGGAATCTGATAGCAGATGGATTAGCAGATTGAGACTTTGTGGAGTTCCTTGGAATTTCTGAATTTAATATCTCTGATTTTGTAATTTTGGCCAAATCATTCAGCCATACTCCTAATCCACAATGATAGCCACCCTGCATAGACCTATAGGTGTCCATTACAGCTTTTTGCTATGCTGCTGGTTACCTGAGGAGTGTTGACCTGGCCGTTTGGCAGTTATCCTTGCCATCTCCTGCATAAAGTCGGTCTGACAGAGGCAGCTGGAGTGATGAGCCACTGACACGTTCACATTCACCTTCCAGGCCTGCCTCAGAGATGATTGACAGACCATCTGCAAAATCATTCGAAACGTTACAGCACTGTTACCAACTCAAAGACATTTACTGTTGACATGAGACGTTACCTTGTTGGGTGTTAGGGGGCTCGCCATCTACCTCGCAATAACACTCGTCTGAAAAAGAAGCGACTTGAAGTATCTGGGTGGAAAACGGTGAGAAAGAATGCTAGTTAAAGGAATCTGGGGGAAAAAAAAGGTATACAGTGCCATCTGTCTGCAGCTCATAACTCATTCAGTAAAGACCAGAATCCAGTTTTGTTTGCACTGCCTTACTTCAGTCACCAAACCGACAGTTTTGTGAGCTAGCAGAGTTTTAACTGATGCTTACCAACTGTGCAAAAGTTGTCACCTTTAAGCGTTTGAAGATTTCCCCTTTTCGATACCTGTAGTCTTAAAGAAATAAAACACATAAACGACTTTAGTCCAATAAGTCATACAACCTTTATGACTCAATGTTAAGGGGCCCAGTTAACTTTACCAACTTCTACACCATAAGCTGGATGCATACAAAATTAATAAACTTTTGATTATTTAGTAACTAGCTTCCCTAATCTTGTAATAAACTTAATTGTTTAGAGCAGGCATTCCCAAACTTGGTCCTCAAGGCCCCCTGTCCTGCAGGTTTTAGAGGTTTCCTTGCTCCAGTACAGCTGATTTTAATTGAAAGCTGATTAACAGGCTTCTGGTCTACTGCAATCATAACCAGCTGTGCTGAAGCAGAGAAACCTCTAAAACCTGCAGGACAGGGGGCCTTGAGCACCGAGTTTTGGGGATGCCTGGTTTAGAGTATTAAGCTGAAGAAAACCACATGACCAGAGGTACAATACTGCGTATGTATGCAACAAGGAGGTAATGGAGCTTAGCAAATCCAGCAGAGGCATGAAAAGGCGTGAAAAGAAAGAGGAGAGGTCCAAGTAGAAGTGTGAAAAAGGGATACAAATGCTGGATGCAAATAAAAAAATATGCTAAGACACGAGTAGTGCGTAAACTTCAATATGAACGCTGCTGTTCAGTGAGGAAGGAACTAAAGGGTCAGTATACATTCAGGCTGCAACAACAGCTTTAGAGTCACCAGGGTTAATTCAAAGTTGGGTTTTTAGTTTTCACCCAAGTTCACCATGTTAAAGTCGGGGATCTACATTTAGCAGATCTGAGCCCTGGCTGCCATCTTTTGTCTGGCCAAACTCCCAGGCACCATGGAAGGTAGGAAACAGATTAATGACAAAAATACAAAGAAAATATGAATAAGTGGATCCAAGTGCAGTGAACTAAATGTGCCCACTTACAAATAGAACACATGCATTTGAACTAAGAATAAAGTTTTATTGCAAACGAAAGCATATGTGTACGGATTATTAAATAAAGGTGAAGGTGCATGTAAGGTAGCGGCTTTCAAGGTGTGGCCATGGGTCTGGCCATCATAACCACCGTGCAGCATTGTTTAAAATGAATAAATGCAAAAACACATTGGTATTTTTGTATTCTGACTTAAAATTTGCATTTCTTTTGTTTTGACAAGTGGCCATGCCTTTTGCTGCCTTGCATCACTGTGCAGAGAACCGCTCATGTAAAATTTTTTTGGTTTCAAACTATTCTGAGATGCGACTGTGTGTATGCATGGTTGTGTGTCTCTGTGTTACCCTTTTAACAGATTGTGTCTGCTGATCATATCCTTTGCAAAAATTCTATTTAGGCTCAAAAAGGACAGAGTAAAACTTGAGGGGAAATGCTTGCCGTATACTGCTATGTTTTAACATTAACACATAATTTTTTTATTGTATTAATCTTTGACTGGGCCCCTTTAAGTTAGCCTACTGGCTTTATGGTAATGAGTGAAATACTAATCATTTTTGTCATTAAATCCTCTTGGAAAAACATTTTTTTTGTTCATTTCTTTGTTCTTCTCTTTTAGTTGTAACAAGGTTTCTTACTTTTTCTAATCTCCTCCAGCCTTTCCATGTACTTTGTTCTGCTGCATCCTAAAGGTGACAAAGGAGAAATTAATGTTTCTGAGACCAAAAGATGACATAAAGTTTCTCTAGGATAAAAGTGCAGCTTCATATTCTAATCCAGGGTTTTATTCATCAGGCCGTGATGAAAATCATCTGGTCTTTACCACAAAGATCTGAACAAAAGACCAAAGAACACAACAAATCCACTACCTCTTATTCTTCAAATAACTTATGAAGTAGAAAACTTGGTGAAAAGTAAAGCACATTCTGGATGCTGTAACAGCAAGCTGTTGCTAAAGAAATACCAGATTTATCGGATTTATTGATTAATAGCAGCTGTGGCATTTGTTTAGAAGCAATCTGATGGTCTGGAGCTAAGGCTGTGCTAACTCAACACCAAGCAGATGACATTAGGAACAACATACAATGAAACAGCTGTTGCTGCCTAGCCAACTTGGAAAAGGATATAAGACCATTTCAAATAACAAAATTTTAATAATTGTAGGCTGAATAAGGCAAGTAGAATTGGACATTTAAGATGGCCGACGTTGTCCAGGAATGGATGTCTGAAAACAAATTTACTGTAAAGATTTGACGCAAAAAAAAAAAAAAATAATATATATATATATATATATATATATATCTCAAGAGCTTCATCTCAGCCTCTATATTATTAGTCAGGATGGTAAGTGTTAACATCAATGACAGTACAATCATAATTATGAAGGAAAGGGTATTTTTCATCATAAAAGAACAAAGGAGAAGAAAGTAGAGACATTTGTCCATACTGGTGCAACTCTGGATGAATTACACTGACAGGATGTCAACCTAAAGACTTCAGAGCTGATGGAGAGGTGGTAATGTGGGCTAGTTATGGGCTTTAGTACGCAGGGAATTATCTTCCATTGTAGTTGCAACAAAATCACAAGTTTTGGAAAAATAAATCCTAATCCAAAAAATTATTTTATTTGCAGCTGCTTCATACAAATAAATAGTAAAAAAATAAATAAATAAAAATAAAAGCATGTATTGTGATTTCTGAATATTTTTTTTAGATTATGTTTCTCAAAGTGGACATGCATCTATGATGACAGTTTCAGACCCCTCCATGATTTTTAAGTGGGAGCACTTGCAAAATAATACGGTGCTGAAATACGCATCTTCCTCACTCTATTAATAAAACCTGTATAATTTATCTAATTTATTCATCGTAATAAGCCTACCTACAGTCAGCAATTAGCCTATTCATAAGGCTATATGTTACAACACAAAAGCATTAAATAATCAGCCAAGCATAGCCTAATAATGCATGTATTTTATTTGCAGATTTTTTTGCATTTTATTTATACAACAGCTATAAGTCTTATATTGATCACAACAAATAACCTCCATCTAAAAAGCGTGTGAAGCATATTTTGAACAAAAAATGCTACTGATTCATTTTTCCATTTTGTATTTATGACACAGGCGTAACTTTCTGAAGGACTGGTGTGGACATGTTCCCACCAACTTTGGCCTGGCGGGGACCAACCCCACCAATAATGGTGCCTTTCCTCCCTTTCCGCTCATTTACTCTAGCCAAAGGTAACAGAGTTTGGGTGTAGCTATCTGTATTCAGAGCGTTTTGAGTCAGTATTTTTTTCCTCTTTCGCGCTGCTCCCGTGTCCCGCCTCAAAGTTTAACATGATCGGATCTGTCGCTTCAAGACATCTGATTGGCAATCGCATTTCACTGCGTGGAGAGTAGCTACGTTGAAGAAGAGACACACAACAGCATTAAATGGCAACTACTTTGATGTACGTTCAAGTAAATGTTAGCAGACGGGTTGGTTAAAAAAATTAGATGCTGCCGAAAAATCTGTTTTTTAGACATACAGAGCCAAACTGATGGCGAGATGGAGCGGGGACCCCCTAACAGTGTTGTGGTAAGACCACCTAACCCGAGACCAAGACAAGACCAAGACCAGAGTGTACCGAGACAGACAAGACCAAGACTTTTAGGGTCCGAGACCAAGTCAAGACCAAGACCAGCGCCAGTATGTGACAATAAAATGTGAAACTTGATCAAAATCACAAAAAATGATCTAAAAGACCCACATTCACATAAAAACACCTAGATATTTAACACACAGAACTGGACTAAACATTAACATCTTTATTTAGTACTTCTGTGTAGTAATCACAGAATTTCAAACAATTAATCAAAATCGATCAAAATTGTATTTTCTCTGCTGTTCATGAACAGTACATACATTTATGTTGTTTTTAAATGTGCTATTTCAAAACAATGTGCAAAATTCTGTAAAATGTGTAAAACTGAAAAAAAAAGCCAATCATTTCTCTTGTTTCTCTCTCATAGACAGATTAAAGCTATATTATATAACTTTTCTTAAATAAATTTATATCTGTCACCAAGTTGTGAAATATGTTATGAGACAGATAATTTGTTGAAAAAATAGATTGATCTCCTTCACTGCATTTACCAATGAGACACGTTATTGCTTGGATTTGAATCCAAGCATCCAATAAAAAGAAGGATCTTAAAGAAACTGATAATATTCTGATGATTAGTGTTATTTCCACAGTTGTGGTCTTGACCGGTCTTTAAATAAAATGCTGAGTCCTCAGCGCCCGAGACCGAGACAAGACCGAGACCAAATGCGGTCAAGTCTGAGACCAAGACCGATCTCGAGTACTACAACACTGCCCCCTAATTATATATATTGTATGAAATTGTGTATCACACTGGTCCTATAGTCACTCTATTACATATGGAGTAATGTAACAAAAGTAATTTCTCCCTGGGATTATTAAAGCATTTCTGATTCGGATTCCTTGTTGATGGGACCTGTGTGTCTCTGAATGTGTGCACTGATGACTGAGAGTCATCTTCTGCCTCCATTTATCTGTTTACTACAGTGTGTTGAATTCATGTTTTTATGTATTTAAAGATATTTCAATTAGTGGAAAAAAAAAATTGCAGGAGAGAATATAAAAAGAAAAGTCTAATCAACCAAAACTTTCACGACCCTCATGCAGTACCTCTCTGGACCCCCTGTTGAAGACCTGCGCTTTTTAGAATAACTAAATAAAAGATGGCCTAGTCAAAGCCCAGTGTTAACACATATAAAACCTGCTGCAATGGGACCTTAAAAGAGCAAACCTCTGCCAGAGAGAGAGAACCAGAGGTGGTTTACACTGATTTATCATTATGATTTTTTGTTCCACTAAAACACTGAGCTTGGATTCTGCTTTGTTATGGTCAGAGGGAAATCATTTAGAAGCTTTGAAATAATAAGATTTTCACTTTTTCCTTCCGCAGCATCGTTATAGTTCAGAGAAAGGCGTTCTGTTTTGCAGCAAGTAAACCTACCTGTGTCCAGCTTCGTTTTGATGTGGTCATACTTTGTATTTCTGGGTATTCTTTTCTTCATGTACTGTATGAAAGAAAGAAACGTTATTTATCCATTCATTCATATTCGGACTAGCTACAAATCTTAACGGATTATTTTCCACGGAAATCCAACATTTTAACAGTAAGCTTCCCCGGGTTGATATGGAAACATAACCTCGCTAACTTGTTAGCATCCTTGCCTAGATACATTGTCTATTTCTGCGTGCCGTTATATTAGCAGGGTTGGAGCATATAAAGCAGAGCTTAGACTGCCAATTCTATGCTTTTGCTGTATCGAAAGGCAATAATCTCCAATTTACCTCGTCTTTACCGATGCCCCGCGTCAACGACATCTTTTCAAATCCCAATACTAAACAGCTGCTTCCTCGTTTAGTAAGGCCGACGCTGATACGCTGCTTCCTTTCAAGAAGCCAATCAGAGAAGCCGAATCTGCGTCGTTTTCCACCCTCAAGGGTCGAAACAGTTGCTAGGCAGCGAAAGACGCCCCCTCCCACTTCATGTCGTGCGGCATTCAGGTAGCATCGGTCTATAGGAGTCATAGGTTACGTACAGTAGGATTTAAAACTTTCATTAATATTTAATGGCTTTGTTCTATTTTGACTTTGTTGATCACAACAAAAAATTTTATTTTTTATTTTATTTGAGGAGTGGTGTGGCCACCCCTACTATTTATTTCCCTCTAATATAGATGATGGCAACAGTAATACTCTCATAATATTTTATATATATTAACAATTGTTTGACAACAAATACACTGCGGTTAATTATGCACATCAATATACTAACATTAAAGATGATAAGTACAAAATTAAAGCAGAAATAGATTTTGTGTTTTATGGGGTAAAGAGAAAATGATGCGTCTCTGCAAGTCATCTAGGAGTCTTCAGTGAAATCATAAATATATAACTATTTAAATTAAAACGTATTAATCAATTTATGTATATATTAGTATTTGTAAATATCAATTTTATGCAGAATGATTAGTGATGTAAGTAGGTAAGTAATGACAATGGAAAAGATGTTCGCCCAAAACTCAAACCTGAAAGAATTTTATCCACTATACGTTTTATCTAGAGAGCAGTGAGCACGGATGTTTGAATATACTTGTCTTTTTGTTAGCAAAGGCTATAGGAAAGTATAGTTTGTCTTTATTTAGAAAATATGGATGTTTTGCTTGTTAATTTTCCCGTTGGATCAGTATATTAGTATATCTGATATATTATATATTATATCAGTATTGACCGTGAGTTTTTGGTGCCTATATCGGCCACCCCTCAGTGTTCATTCATTATTGCCTGGCCATCCTTATAAAAATTTTCTGGCTACGCCTCTGCTAATAAAAGACGAAAAAGGTCAAAAAGTTGAACACGCGGCAAAAAATACCTAAATAAAAGTATCAACATATAATAATGATGTAAAAGTGTTATATGAGCATTTATCAAAGCAGCTCTTTTGAACATCAGTCACAAAATTAAGTAGGGCTAAAGAATTTAAGATTACATTTTTTATTTCTTGTGGGACACAAAAAAATCCGACTTTTACACAGATACTATGAAGGCAACATTTGCACAAACTCAAAAACCGGTTGGTTATTTACGAATGGTCGATTACACAAGAGTTAAAAAAATAATGTAGTACAAATAATAAAGAAATAAATAAAATAATAAAAATAATCAATATTGATTATACTGGAGCGGGGGTGCCTAAAGCGACGTTCAAGACATCGCGGTTCGGAGTTCGATTAGTCAGGTCTGGGGCAGTGACAGCCATGGAGGAGCTGTGCAGCGGGTTTGTTCAAATCCACAAATAACCATAGCTCGCTCAATTATCGGCAAAAATGGCATCTGTTCTGGTGAGTCTACCTTTTTAAATGTGTCTTGCCTCCTTTAAGAGCAGTTAGCACAAACACCGACAAGTCTCGCCAGAGGAGGACAGGAAGTTTGATTGCTCAGCCTGAGCTAAGAGGATTTACAGAAACATCTGACCACTTTCTAGTGCACATATTCGCATAAAATTTGGCCAGAATTAGTTAATCTATTTTAAGAACCTTCAATAGTTCTTCCTATACAAACCAGCACAGAGTTATGAGTTATAAATGTTTAACACAGGAAGCGGGAAGAGCAGATGGAGGCGGTTTATATTTAGTAAAACGGTGACGAGTTGAACTGAGCTGCAGATGTTAAGATCAATGAAAGTTGTTGTATTTATACCTTTTACATTAAACAGTCTAATGTGATGCAACATGATAAAAACTATTAATTTTATTGACCTGGTGGTAATGAGTTGTGACAATAAAAAAAACAACAACAAAAAAAAACAGAAAAGGTTTAATGCTAAGAGAACCAATCACAGCATGAAGCAACCACCACCGTGTTTCTATGGTGATGAACATGTAATGTTGTAGAATTCTTTCCACTTCAATACTAAATCCAGATTTAATTGCACAAACTTGCTCTAATGGAGGATAAACCATTCTGTCTTTCTGCTTTTTTTACACCTGGGATGGATGTCAGCTTAAAAACATTTGAGGTGTGCATGATTGAAATTGAAATTGATGTGTGTACGAGGAAAAAGATCTTCAGTAAATAATTTTTTCTGTCTTTTATATTTGTCTTTGCAGGAGGATCCAACTCTGGAGAGACACTTCAAGGGACACAAAGACGCCGTCACCTGTGCAGATTTTAATCCAAACCAAAAGCAGCTGGGTAATTCCTAACACTCTGTAAACGCTTGTATCTTCACTATATTAAAGTTCACTGACTGCAGCCATGACCTCTGGGATGTAAAATACCTTTGCATACGTATATGAGGAAGTTGATGCTCAAACTGAATTGCTGCTCAGTGAAACAAATTATATTAAAGTACATTATCCGATAGAACATTTTACTGCTTCATTCTTTGGTCTTTCTGGGTCAAAAGGACAGAATATGAAAAACAAGATAAACAGACTAGAATAGAACTTGATTGATCTCACAATGGAGAAATTCACTTGTTACAGCGGCTTTTATAAAAAAAACAGAAGGAAGGAGGAAAAGGTGCATATAGTATATATACATATAGTGCATCCAGATATATACATTGGATGGTAGAAAACAAAGGAGAGATTTAAATCTGTTTTTCTGTTTTCCGTGTTTAAAACCTACATGCTAAAAATTATTTAATAAAAATCCACCGTTTCATTTTTTCTTCAGATATCCAAACCAAAAACAAAATGTGTGGTCATTGATTTTATTTGTAATGGTAGCTTGTTTCTGCAGGATTCTTAAAAAAATATAAAACCGTGTGTCTGACCCCAGTAACCATGACAACATTGGTCACTCACACCTGGATCAATCAGTCTGTCCAGGGATGAAAGACAGGAAACAGGGAAAGAGTTTTATCTGGAAAATGCAGTTTGAAAAGAATCACATTATTATAACTCAAACTTTGAAGGAGAAAAAAAAAATATATAAAAAATATAAAATCTGCACAAAAGATTAAATAAAAAAATGAAAAAAATGATTGTATGAAAAAAAAAAACATGTTTCATACTCAGCTCTTTGACCTTTTCTGTTGTGGGAGATGTTTTTTGGACACTTAAAAAAACAAAATCAAGATTATTGAAAAAGGCACATCTGTACATTTATGCTAAATGATTCACTACTTTTATCAGCCAATAGTTACAGAAATGTCCATATTTTCACCTCAGTGTGGTTCGCCTTGTAGCTTTGTCTTTAGTTTTAAATCCTAGTTTATCTCACTGTTCTCAGATTACAGGGTTGCATGCAGTAAAAAAGTGTAATGTTGGTGGTACTGTATCGAAAGGCAATAATCTCCAATTTACCTCGTCTTTACCGATACCCCGCGTAAACGACATCTTTTCAAGGCTTTGTGAAAAAGTCTTATTCTGATCACGTTTTCTTCCTGTTGTGCTTCTAGCGACGGGATCAGTAGATAAGACGCTGATGATCTGGAATCTGGCTCCAAAGGGAAGAGCCTTTCGATTTGTCGGGCACCAGGATGCCATCACAGGGCTGCAGTTCTCTCAGTCTGGTGGTCTGGTGGCATCTTCCTCCAAAGATAGAACGGTTCGATTGTGGACGCCTTCCATGTGAGCACCTGTATAAATGCTGAACTCTTATATAGTATTTGTTTGTAATTGTCTTGAATTCTGCACATTATAGTCAAAAAACACTCAAGGTGGACCATAAAGCAGCTTTGATTTGAACTGTTTGTTAATGTTTTGGCCACAGAAAAGGAGAGTCTACAGTTTTCAAAGCTCATACCGCCGCAGTCCGCAGCGTTGCTTTCTCCAACGACGGCCACAGACTGGTCACTGCATCTGATGACAAGTCTGTCAAAGTGTGGAGTGTCCAGCGGCACTGTTTCATCTACTCCCTCAACCAGCACACTAACTGGGTCCGCTGTGCCAGGTACCCAGCTGCCCTCTATGCACTATGACATTTAATCTCTGACTGCACCTTGCAAAAGTATTTATATAGTTTAACCTTTTTTTTATGTTATAACCTTAAACTTTAATTTATTTGAATGATAAACTGATTCATCTCATGTAGGTTGCTTAATGCGAAAAGGGGTGAAAACAATGTGTAAATAATTTTATATGCATGATCCCGGGTCTTTATTAGAAAGGGGCGAGTTCTCAGAATAAACCAAAAAGCGAAAAAACATCTTTAAATATTAACAGAATTTATTCCAGTCAAGTATAACAAAATCATTGTTAGTAAACGCATAATACAGAGAAATAATTTACTTCTGGCCCAAACCACAAAAGTTAACAGAGGCTGCACACAGAGAGCTAAAACAGGAACTTGATCACCCCTGCATGGAGCTGGGTCATAAATATACAATGGGCGGTAACTTAAAACACAAGTTAACCTTTTAGAAGATTTTAACCTTCAACAAACTACAGTCAAAATGTTTAGCTAACACAAAAACACATTTAAAGGAAAAAGGCAGCAAATGAGAAAAGACAAAAATAGAGCAGCAAAGAGGAAACACGCCCTGCAAACATAAAACCTGCTGCAAATGTATCCACATACCCCAAATATTTGTTAAAAAATGCCAAATCACACAAAAACCCGCCCAAATAAAGTATTGTTATATTTACTGTGTGAACGTGAACACACTTCGGTACAAATTAAGTCAACACTACATGTTAAAACGCTAAATTCCAACAAAAACTGCCTCTGGAGTTGTTCCCCATAAAGAACTCTGACCCAGCCACCGCAGCGATGTCAGATCCAGATCCATGTAGGCTACTCCTCTTTTGACATTTAGAAGGCAAACTATGATCAGTGCCTCCACACAAATATGCTAAGCTAATGTAAACATTTTAATTAGTTTTATAGATCACAAATTAACATGTTAAACTTCCTCTTTCCTTTGTTTGTTCAGGTTTTCTCCAGATGGGAGGCTCATAGCGTCCTGTGGAGACGACCGCTCTGTCCGTCTTTGGGACACGTCCTCTAAACTCTGCATCAACTGCTTCACTGACTGCAGCGGGTAATTCTGTCACCTTCACAGGCTTTTATAACTGTGAACAATTTTAGGCAACTGCACTGCTTTTGTTTCTCCTAAAGATTAAATACGGTTCTTTAAACCTCCCCAACTTGCAGCCATGATCGGTTTCCTTTATGCATCTCTTGGACTGGTGTCTTTTCTCATTTCCTCGTAAAAAATAAGTCACTCTGCTGCGTCACACCCACGTTCACAGTCTGCGGCCAAACCGAGGCAGCGCAGCACTGCTTCCTGGTTCTGGAACTAAATTCTTTATCCCTCAGACACAGAAACAAATTCACATTAGAATTTATTCAGTTGATTGTCGGCTAAGCGTCCGTCAGTCAAATATGTCCGCCTGCTAATTTTGTAAGCTCAATGTGTTCAAACAAACATACATAGACACCCTCACACTGGCCAGTTTCCTCTGTGCAATATCCTCTCACTTTCTCTTCTTAAAGGGGAAATAAGCTTCTTTTTAGATCATTTGAAGGATCAGAGGGAAACTTAAACTAATTATCTCTCCTGGGCGGGGGATTATTCATTAGCTCTTATGGAGTAACTGATCTCTAGTACTGTAGCCAATGTCCGTCTCCTTTTCCAGGAAGGCATCTTTAGTTTCTGTGGGCGAAACGGGGAATAAATGATGTCCCTTTAAACCAAAATTTCCTTTGATAGTTAAGCTTTTGGAGGTTGAATCACAGACTCTAGACAATAACAATCAAATCTCGCTTTACTTTCTATTGTTAGTGTAATTTACCACTACTCCAAACATTTTTCTGTTTCCAAAATGATTTTAGAAATGAAAAATTCCCTCAGAACCAGCCACCCACCGAAGTATTAAATAAGTAATATTTAGAAAAGGAATCTCCCTGCCTTTGTTTTGCAGCTGCAGGATTTGTAGCTGATCTGAGTATGTCACCTCTGTTACGTCCACAGCATCCATGAACATGTTCACGTCCCAAATAGCTGTTTTCAACAACCTGCAGATTCATATAAGGTCTCTTAGAATTGCAGCAAATTTCTTTTTCTATGCTTTTTTTTTCTCGTCATCTAAAGTAAACCCCAGGTCTTTACTTTAAGATGTTCTGAGGTAAATCTTCTTAAAACCATTGAATGTTCAAATGTTTCTTCCAGCTCTGCAACTTTTGTTGATTTCAACTCCAGTGGCACCTGCATTGCCTCCTCAGGAGCTGACAGTTCCCTTAAGATCTGGGATTTACGGACCAACAAGCTGATTCAGCACTATCAAGGTACGGCGATAAGCCTCAATGGTTCCCAGTGAAGCAAGTATTCCTGCATGGTTGGTGTTTTGCAGAGGTGTAAATACAATAACTGCATAAACATCACATTAGCTTGTGGGTCTTTAAAAGTTATGTAACACCATTACTCCCACTACTGCTGATATGTGCAGATGTTTTATTTTTCATTTCGTAAGGCTTATTCCTGAAATCTGTATATCTTTCTCATTCTCCTTTTTTCATGATAAAAATATTACAGAATGAACACAAAAGTTCCACAAATCTCACTTGAAACAAAAATATTTTCCAACAAATCACATTAAACAGTAGAGATACATAGTTGTTTTATTTTGCTTCTCTCAAACAATCCAAAATCCAGTTAGTTATGATAAAATATGTGTTCTGATAGTCTAAAGGAGGGGTAGATTCATTTTTTTCCCCAATAAATTTTTTCCATGTCACACTGACTGCGTATAGAGTGGCTCTAATGAGACAGGTTGGGCAGATCTGCACAGATTTTATTAACTGTCTCAGTCCCACACACAAATTAAAATAATTTCCCAAATTTGACCTGGACAGATTATGGAAAGTAATTAAAAAAAAAAAGAAAATGGAAAAAAAAAAACACCTGCCTATCTATAAAACAAAGCCCTACTTCATGAGTATGTGCAGCATATCTTAAACCAGAACAGATAAAGACTCTTTATAGACCTAAATTAAAAACATAATGAGATCTACGTCTGCGTGATTAACTGCATTTTCTGTCCCTTGTTGTTTTTGTGAGGCTCAAAGAGAATCACTGCTTTATCCTTTTTCTGTCCACCTGAACTCCTTTCATGGGTGAAGTATTCTTTGGTCAACTCTTCTAACTTGAAAAAGCATTATATAAGTACAGGCCATTTACCATTTTAAAAAATGTTTCATTGACTGTTTTTGCAAAGACTCTTTCTCTTGCGATTAACATATTTTATTTTGTATTTTCCCCCAAAGCAGATGTGTTTTACTTTAACCGTGTCTCTCTTCCTGTCAGACCCATATAATTGCAGTTGAATAGCTGCATAGTCAGACTGAGATAGACCGGGGGTCTATCTCAGTCTGACCTACGGAAGCCCCCTTCTGTAAAATCTTGTCCACTGTGATCATCCTCATTGTCTCTCAATGAGCGCGAAACGCCATAAACTCGTCCGACACGATTTTCTGTTGGATCGGACACAAAATCAGTTTCAGAGTGTTCTGGCCTTAACTATTGCCCAGATACTTTGCAAAGGTCTGCGCATTTTTGCCAGGAGTATAAAGTCTGGCCCTTTTTCTTTTTGCAGCTGCAATTAAGTCCATATGAATATTTGAAATCTTGTGCAGATTTTTAGAGCCTTAATCCTTTTGTTGGCTGGTTGAAATAAAGATCAGTCAGAGCTACCGTTTCAGATGAACTCTATTTTTACCTGTTATATGGTGCGTTGCGCCATGGTTTCTCAATTAACTCAGTTATTGACTGCAGCATCTGCTATTTTAAGCGACGACACTGATTGGTTGAATCTGTCTGAGATTAGTGGCTATAAGCAAAAATGAAGCATCTTTTTTTTTATTTTTCTTGGTGCAGGAATACGGTACAAAATCGGTGTTACACGTTTCTTATTTTCAAAATCATAATATGACATGTTTCACCACAATTAGATTCATTATCTCATCAGTATTCATCTTTCACACAGAAACTGGAATCAGAAAAATAGTTGAAACCAACCACAGGGGGCCACATCAGGATTTTACCGTGCTATGCACTATGCATGAGAAAAAAGTTTTTCTAAAAGAAAAACAATACAGCTTTTGTCCACCTAGGGGAGCCAACATCAACCAAAATGGAAAGTTCTTTAGTACTGCTTTCAAAATATTATAAATCTAATCTAATCTGATAAGCTCGGGGGGAAACTCAGGTGGAATCAGAGAGAAAAGCACACAACAGCTATCAAAAACACAAAATCTGAGTTGAAAAAACAGCCGTGACCCCATACCCGAATTTTAGCAAAGACGTTTTTTGCAGAATGTATTTGGCATTTAAAAGGAAAATGTGACACATCCTCATAACCTTTCCCTGCCACAGAAGAATGAACTACATCAGGGAGAGATACTGCAATATGGGACCAAACATAATTTAGCTTTCACATCACTAAAAAAACTTTGAAACTGGTGGACCACTTTAAAAAATTTTTTAGACAGGTTCCCTGATAATATTGGTAAGATATAATTCTGGGAATAATTAAATGTTGAAACAAAAGAATGAAAAATCATGTCTCCTGTCTAATAAAGTTTTTCACATTAGATTATTTTCACGAAGCACTTGGGATTCATTCCCCAGTATCCATTTTAAAGACAAAAACTTAGAGGTTAAAAACACTGTTCTATAGATGGACTGAATTGCAGGATAAAAATCTAATATAGATCTATAAATTGTGAGCTCTGCACATGTCACCACATTGGCTTCCACTGCTCATTTTTAGGTAAATTGTTCATTTAAATGTTATTTTATTATGACACAAGAAGTGGTAAGGCATTATGGGCCGGATCTATCAAAGGTTTGCGTGTATTAAAACGTGAGCTATTTCACTGCGCA